ATATCTACGTCGTACAGTTAGGTATGCCATAATATTATGAAAAAGATATATTTTGTTATTTGCTTTCATAATTTTTTTAAATTTATCATAATATATATATTATGCAAAAAGATAAAAATATTATAAAAATTACATTATGTTTTGCAGATCACCATCTTTGTATGACACAAGACATAATACAACTAATGATAGAGATATTAATGCTATAAGTCAAAATAATAATGCTCCTATTCGCATATCATCTCATGAAGAATTTAGTGATTACTCTGAACATGATGGAGATGCAATATCACCAAAACCATCACACAAACCATTTTTCCGTCGTTTATCTTTTAAAGGACTTAAAAAAGGAAAAAGCCTTTTTCATAAACAACAAAGTGATGAAGTGGAATTATCTCATAGTGAACATCGTAGAGATAAACATTCAAAAGCTAAACTTTCTAAGATTGTAGTAGAATGTAGAAAAGAAGGCATTGTTAATTCCTTAATGGGGGAGAATATTGATGGAACTCAAAAATGGGAAAAGTCTAGACTTGCTTTAATAAAAGCAATTGGAGGATATATGTTAGAATTTTATTCTCCTCCAAAAGCAGTAAAACCACGCAGTGGTGTCTTTTGTTCTGCAATTACTGAAGCCAGGGAAACAACTGCATTAGAAATGCCAGATCATGAAAATACTTTTGTATTAAAAACACAAAATATGGAATTTGTAATAGAAGCTCATGATTCAAATGATATGAGATCATGGTTAGCTACTATTAAATATTGTATGCGTACAGTACAACAAAATTCTATTAATCCCAATTCTGGAGCAGAGGCTACTGGAGATTCTTTAGGACATGCTTCATTAGCTATTAGTAATGAAGGAGATAGATTAAGAACTAATTCTGCAAGTAAAAGTTCCCGATCTACTTCCCATGAACATGGAGATGAAATAAGTAGCAATCCTCCAGAAATACCTCCTAGACTTCGTATAAGAAGTAATAGTAATTTGGAATTATGTTCATCACAGCAAGATATTGAACAATGTAAGATAGATTTATATATAAGAGTTTTAAAATTATATATTTCTAATTATTTAATATATATATTAGAAATAATTAAATTTTGTTATAGTAAATGTAAATGATGGTGAATTAGACTTATCAAGTAGTTTAAGAGAATATCCATGGTTTCATGGAACTCTTCCTAGATCAGATGCAGCACAATTAGTTTTACATAGTGCTGCTAATGGTCATGGTGTATTTCTTGTTCGACAAAGTGAAACAAGAAAAGGAGAATTTGTATTAACTTTTAATTTTCAAGGTAGAGCAAAGGTAACGTTTTTTTAATTAAATTATCTTATATAACTATTTTAAATTATTCAAAATAATTTATTTTGTAATCTTTATTATAGCATTTACGTATGACATTAAATGATCAAGGACATTGTCGAGTTCAACATCTTTGTTTTCCTGCTATATATGATATGCTTGAACATTTTCGTCAGAATGCCATACCTCTTGAATCTGGTGGAACAGCAGATGTAACTCTCACAGAATTTGTTGTGGCAAATCATGCAATACGATCAGCACATCATAATATGTCTGGAATAAATCAACAACAATTACAAGAAAGAAGACCTCCAGCTGCTCCAGAGCCAAGAGAAGTAAGAGTCAGCAGTGGAAGTCTAACTCCTCTTGAGTGAACGCGAGTGGCCAACACCCACAGTCTGAAGTCTAATCTACAGACAGTGAGTAAATAAATAAAATGATGCACCCATTTTTTTGTGCGACTGGTAATATATACATTCTAAATTGATATTCACATCATTACAAAAATCCATATTCGGATTATTTTGTATTTAAATTACTAAATTTTTTTTTTAATATAAATTATTTTATCGTTTTTTATATACAGATATACATAATATAAAGTTTTTAGAGTAGATGATATAAGCAGACAAATATATTTCTACATACAAAAATGAGTCAAAGAAAAGAATATTTTTTTATTAAAACTTTTTAATTGTTTCTAAAAAATTAAAATTGAAAAATATATATAATTTATTTGACTGTATATTTTCAATCTTAATTTCTTTAAAAAGACTTAAACAACAAAATTTTATTTTACATTTTTTATGTATTTTCATATTTATGATATTCTTCTTGCTGATTAACTTATATCTAATAATGATTTTTTTAAATTCATTTATACTTAAAAATTTGATTTAATTATGAAAATTATATTTTAAAATTTTATTAACTTTCTTTTTAATTCATTTTTGTAATTCATTATGTAAAATACTCTCAATTATATCATCTATATCATTCATTTTAATACACATAATTATTTTTCTATTTATTTAATAATAATATGTAATATTTATAAGAATAATATTTTCTCAATTTAATATTTATTGCATTTTTTGTTGTAATTAATAAAAAGATTGCTTTATTTTTCTTTTTTTTAATTAGTATAAATTTTATATAATTAGTTTTATTATGTTTATTATTTTGAATAAAATAGTTTTTAAAATTAATATTATTTATAATATTTTTTATTAATTTTACATTATATATATGTGTACAAACTTTTAATCCGAATGTGGAAATTTAACAGAATTTAACTAAATATCATACATGTATATAATTGGTATTTTAATTAAAAGAATTCTCAAAATTAAAACATGATATATAATAACTCTTAGTAGTAAAGAGTTGTAATTAATGTATGAGATAATGGTGCTTAATATATATGACCGTGGGACAAGGAGCTCGCTTTTATATGTAAAATATTCTTAAAATTTCTGGTTCATTTTAATTACTATAATAAAAAATTATTATTTATTAATATTTGATAATTTTTAAATCCAGAAAATTTAAGATAAAATTTAATGAATTATTGTTTGAATTGAATTAAATATTAAATGAATATTTATATAATACAGGTGCGCACATATGGAGGTTCTATAAGAACACGTACAGAATCACTGGAAAGACTGGAACAACAAAACACCATTACAGAACAACAAAGTTCATCATCAACTAGTGGTAGAGCAATTCAAAATACTTATAGTTTTCTTTGACGTTGGATCCATAATACTCTACCATCGGGTTACAATCCAGTTAGTCCTTTAGATTAAGTAGTTTCTCTATTAATTTAGAAAATCAAGATAATTTTTAGTTGAACTTATTATTGTTATTATAAACTGTCATTCTAAAGTGTACTATTTCACTTATGCAAATAATGTATTTTTCGATTATCAATTATTTTCGATTTTTTGAATTTTGCAAGATAAAAATTTAATTAGTTGTATTTATTAATCATCTTTATATTCAATTTTGAAAACAGGATTTAAATTTTAAAATATAATTATTTTATAGTTTTTGAAATAATATATATAGATTATTTTACAAATTCAATGAAATTTATAATAAAATTTTATTGATTGTACTTTTTTGCACGTTCAGATATATCAGCTCAAATTATCATTAACACATATTATAAGTGTTATAAGTATTATAAAATATTTCAAATATGTATATGAAACTAAAAGATCATGGCCTTTATTTCACTAAAGAGAAGAATATTTTAAAATTATAGCATATTCATTATGTCATCTACTTACTTAATTTACTTAAGTGTATGTACTTATGTCAGAATATATATATATATATAATATAATATTTAATAATAAATAAATAAATTATATATATATATATATACACATATATATAAACATATATGTATGAATATAAGTTAGTCCTATTTTATATGTAAAATTATTATGGACAATCTCTTTACTTGTCTCTATGACTTTATTTTTTTTATAATTACTAAAATATACTAAAATAATACATGCATATAGTATTAAATATATATATCAGGAGGATTTAATTTAAAGAAATCAG